GAGAGAGAGAGAGAGAGAGAGAGAAAGTCACCTACGTGGATGAGGATGCTGGATATGGGTTGTTGAACTCTGCGCTGATGAGCACCTCGTGACTGGAACTCTGAAACTGTTTAATATGAAAATTCACTGGAGATTCTAAGCTCCACTAATCTGGACATTTCATCTTTGGTCTCTAGTGTGGATTTCGTGTGAACTCTCATTGTGCATGTGCATGGAGTGACAAATTAAGTGGTCCCATGCAATTGGTATCGGAGCTGGTACTCGCTCATCCGCTGTTGATGAGAGTTGGCAAGATTAAGGTCGGCTAGATGAGATATGGAGTTTGACATTGGGGTTGGAGGCCGAAGAAGAAGTGGCCGATAGTGGGGGATGATGAGTATGTACCTTCATGCGTGGAGTGACCTTGTGGAGCGTCAACAGAGGAACGCTCACCAGCGAAGTGCAACGCCCCCATAAGCCCTGCATTTGCTTTAATGGATGATAAGGTGTCGTGTGTACCTTCCCACATCTTGGTGTCGCTGCTGCTGGACGAAATACTTGGTGACATATCTGATTTTGTCTTGAGTCAGCATCTGGTCAGACACATGTGCATGAATTAAGTCGAGTCTAGGATAGAAGCTCGGCAGCTGGATGACTAACCTGAAAGTAGGGAGCATGGGCATGCGCAGCGAGCGCTCGTTAAACAACTCGGTTAACCCTAAGACCGATACTGACCGGCATGCGACCGAATCGGAGCTGACGCAGTGAGGAGCTATAAGTCTTCAGAGTGATTCTTCAGATACTGGTGGGCACAACGTCCTGTTTGCGTCGTTAAAGAATTCCTTGTTGGCTGACCTTAAACTACTGGTTGCCCACCAGCCTGTAGGGGAGCTGTAGTGACACTGTGGAGGGGCTTAAAAGAAGTCAAGTCAGACTCTAATCTAGATTAAGTGTTGAGGGTTAGGTCTACGTGGTGAGGAGGCGGAGACTACTTAGATGCCCTTCACATAACCATGGATGACTACCCCATGTTCGCTTTCTTGGCCCTTTCTGTTATATGGGGGGCCCTTCTCCGCTTCACCTTCCCTCTAGGTTTCCACCGGAGCACTAGGATGTGCACAACTATGAGATCCGATAAGACCACACAGGCATATACTGTGAACAGCAGGCCGAGATTGATAGGAAGTTGGCTGAAAAGAAAAAAAAAAAAAGAAATGAAGGAGAAAGAGGAAAAAGAAGGAGGAAGTGAAAGAAAAGTTGGAGCACGAGAGAGAGAATATGAGGAGGAGAAAGAGAAGATTGAGAAGGAGATGAGAAAGATGGGGGAATAATTAAAAAAAAAGTCGGAAGAAGAAGAAGAAGAAGAAGAAGAAGAAGAAGAGGGAGGAGGATTGGAGAGAAGGAGGACAAGACAAGGAGAAGCGGCAGAGAGCAGCCAAGTTGGGAACTAAGACTCCAACGGGTTGAAAACTTGGATTGGGTGGGGAAATTTGGGTTCCGGACTGAGCTTCCGGAAGAAATTGAAGAAGAGAGACGCTGGCTTATGGTAAATTTGACAGCAACTGAGGATGAGGAGGAGATTAATTTATTATTAGAAGAGAAAAGAAGTGAACTCAATCAGAGGTTGCTGGCCGGAAAAAGGAGGGAATTCAACGAAAAGAAAAGATTGAAAGAGGAGGGGGAACGACTCCCGACGTTGTGGAAGGTGCAAACGGGGAAGCAAGTAGAACCCGAAGAATGTTGGACCCTTCTCACTGACACTTTCCTGCACACCACCCAAGAACTCTCTACACTACAACGAACCGTTGGAAAAATGGAACGACACTAGGAGGAATTCGAGAGTACGTAGAACAACTACCTCAGTGCATCATCCCATCAAGTTGATCATATGATCATGTCATATGGATGCCAGTTAGATGACCTCTTCCCCCAAAAGCTTACTAACACCATCGATGCAGTAAAGTTGAGTGTCGGTGGTGGAAGTGGATATGGTGGCGACGATGGGGATGATGTCAAAAAGGGGAAAGGTCCCATAAAGGATGGTGGAAAGAAAGGGGAAGAAGACAAGTCTGAGGGAGGGGACCGCAGAGAGAAGATGAAGGTAAAGGTCCCTTTGACGTATACATGGAAGAGGGAAGAGAGTATCTTCCACTGGGAGGTAGCGATGGATACCTACATGTACGCACAATTGATTCCGTACTGGGACCGCGTACTCAAGGTAAGTTCATGCCTAGGGGGAGACACAACTAGCCTTGCCATTGCATTAGTAAAAGAGGCAGGCTGCACCTCGATGGTGCAATACTCACAACGGACTAAGATTGAGGACTTCTTCAAGGTCCTGAAAGACCGCTTTGAGAACAAGAACTTAGCGCGTCGTATTGAGCACCTCATCCTTAACATAAGCGACCACAAGTGGAAGATTGCTTTTGCACTCGAGGCCACTATGGATGAGCTGTTGCAATGTCCTAATCATGGACTGGACCCTGCCCAAATATTAAATAACTACGCCAGAGCGCTGCCAGAACCGCTTAAGACACAACTATATCCCCGTACTAAGGGCGAGGGGATGACTTATGAGAAATTCAGCAAGATAGTTGTAGACCATGCCGGGTTCCTGCAAGAGGCAAACTATTGTCATTATTGGAAGGATCTGCAGGCCGGTAAGAGATGGAAGAATAAAACTATATGAGGTAGTATAAAGGGGAAGGATAATCTGTTGGTCCCCTTCGAAGGAGGTGTGGAATCCTTGTCGTACAATTAGATAGATTATGGTCTAGAAGAAGATAACAACGACCAAGTAGCCCGTAGGGGAGGGCGACAAGGAAGAGGCTGAGGTAGAGGTGGAGGTCGAGAACCCGCTTCCCAAAGGGGTAGTGGTGAAGGAAGCTACTTCGTGGGAGGTAGGGGTAATGGTCCCTCACAAGGTGGTAGAGGTTCTCCCTTCATCTCTATACATATAAAGGAAAACGCGGGTCTCGCGTGACGGTCCCGCGCGAGACCCGGTTCCCTGGTGTGGGACTCATGGCAGGCCCAAGGGAGGACTGCGTGCCGGTTCGGTGAGGCCGGGGGGTCGAGTCGGATTGCCTGCGGGCCGGCTTTTTTTTTTGGTTGGTGTTGGCGCGGTGCGGGGTCTTTATTTGCTGCGGGTTTGTTTGGCGCCGCGCCGTGATTGCAGGTGTTGGCCATATTCAACCAGGTAGTGTATATCTCCATTTTCCAGGGCAAGATTCATCGATTTGAAGATTCTCTCTCTCTCTCTCTCTCTCTCTCTCTCTCTC